TACTGCCTCGGAAACCCAAGGAGGGGTCGCTATGAGTCGGGGTCGACTCGACGGCACATAACAACAACAACAACAACTTCAGAGTAAAGTTTTAAAGTGAGGAATGTGAATCCTTCTACCTTATTGTACTTTTTTCAATATTGATTTGGCTGTTCAGACTCTCTTGTAATTCCTTACGAATTTGAAAACTGGATTTTCTATTTCTGCAAAAAAAAATAAGTAAATAAATAAATAGAATAACAAAAATAAAAATAAAAACAGATGTTGGCATTTTGGTTGGATGTTGGCATTAAATCTATAGATAACTAGATGTCTGTCTATTTATTTAGGTCTTCTCTTTTTTTTTTCCCCAGCAATTTCATAGATTTCAAAGACTTGAACAAGTTTTTCACTTCTTTTTTGTTGTTATTAGTTGCCGTTGAGTCAGTTCTGACTCATAGTCCTGCTGTGTACAGAGCAAAACACCTCTTGGTCCTGATATATCCTCGTGATTGTTGCCATGCTTGAGCCCCTCATCACTGATTGTCAATATGCTTGAGCCCTATGTCAACCCATTTTATTGAGGGTCTTCTCCTTTTTCGCTGACCCTCTACTTTGCCAAACATGATACCCTTTTCCAGGGACTAGTCCCTTCCGACAGCAACCAAAATAGGAGAGATGAAGTCTGGCCATTCTCCCTTCTAAGAAGCATTCTGGCTGTACTTCCTCAAAGGCAGGTTTGTTTCCTTTTCTAGCAGTCTGTGGTATATTCAATATTCCTGACTAACAACACAATTCAAATGCATCAATTCTTCTGTGGTCTTCTGTATTCATTGTCCAGCTTTCACATGCATATGAGGTTATTTAAAATATCAGGGCTTGGGTCAGGCACATCTTAGTCTTCAAAGAGACATCTTTGCTCTTTAGCACTGTAAAGAGATCTTTTTCAGTAGATTCACCCAATGCAATATATCATTTGCTTTCTTGACTGCTGCATTGATTGTGGATCCAAGTAAAATGAAATTCTTGACAAATTCATTCTTTTCTCTACTGATCATAATGTTGCTTATTGGTCAAGTTGTGAGGATTTTTTATTTTTTTATGTTTAAGTGCAATCCATATTAAAAGCTTTAGTTATTGATCTTCATCAGTAAGTCTTCTTCACTTTCAGCAAGCAAGATTGTGTCATGTGCTTACCATAGGTTTATCTTCCTCTAACCCTAATACTATGTGCTTCTTCTTATAATCCAGTTTATCAGATTATTTGCTCAGCATACAGATTGAATAATTATGGTGAATTGATACAATCCTGATGCACACTTTTCTTATTTTAAACCATGGAGTATCAACCCCTTTTTCTGCTTGAACGACTGTCTGTTTGTCTATGTGTAGGTTCTTTGTGATCCCTATTTAATTTCTAAAATTCCCATTTTTTTCAATGTTATCCATAATTTACTATAATCCACACAGTAGAATGCCTTTGAGTAGTCAATAAAACACAAGTAAACATCTTTCTGGTATTCTTTACTTTCAGCTAGCATCCATCTGACATCAGCAATGATATCCTTCATTCCACATCTTCTTCTGAATCCAGCTTGAATTTCTAGAAATTTCTTTTCAATGTATTATGCAACTGTTTTTGAATAATGTTCAGGAAAAGTTCATGTGCATATAGTGTTCATTATATTGTTTAATAATTCCTGTATACTGTTTGATCATCTTTCTTTGGAATGAGCACAAATATAAATCTCTTCCAGTCCCTTGGTCAGGTAACTCTCTTTCAAATTTTTTGGCATAAATGAGTGAATTCTTCCAGTGCTGCATCTCAATGAGTTTTCTGCCAATTCCTGGAGACTTATTTTTCTCAATTCTTTCAGTGCAGCTTGGACTTCTTCCATCAGTACCATCAGTTATTGATCATATGCTGCCTCTTGAAATAGTTGAGAATCAATTAATTGTATTTGGTACAGTGACTCTTTGTTTTCCTTCCATCTTCTTTTGATGCTTCCTGCATCATTCAATATTTTGCCTGTAGAATCCTTTAATATGGCAACTCCAAGCTTAAGTATTTTAATTTCTTTCAGGTTGAGAAATGCCTAGCATGTTATCTTTTGATTTTCTAACCCCAAATCCAGGTCTTTGCATATTTCATTACAATACTTTGTCTTCTCAAACTGCTCTTTGAAATTTATACAGGTCTTTTCTTTCATCATTTCTTCCATTTGCATTAGTTACTCTCTATTCAAGTGCACCCAAAATGCTCCTTGGAAGTGAGAATGGCCAGAATTTGTCTCACCTATTTTGTCATGTTGTCAGAAGGGACCATTTCCTGGAGAAGGATGTCATGCTTGGTAGGGTGGAGGGTCGACGAAAGAGGGGGAGACCTTCAATGAGATGGATTTACACGGTGGCTGCAATGATGGGCTCAAGTATAGCAGAGATTGTGGAGCTGATGCAGGTTCAGGCAGTGTTTCTGCTGTGCATGGGGTCACTATGAGTCAGAAATGACTGAACTGCACCTAACAACAACAATAACATTCAACAAGAAGTTTCAGAGTGTTTTCTGAGATCCATTTTGGTCTGTTTTCCTTTCCTGTCTTTTTAATGACATTTTGCTTTCTTCATGTTGATGTTCTTGATGCCATACCATGACTTGTCTTTTCTTTGTTTATTGGTCTTCAATGTGTCAAACCTTTTCTTCAAATGGTCTCTAAATTCATGTGAGATATATTCACAGTTGTATTTTGGTTCTCATGAACTTATTTTAATTTTCTTCAGCTTTAACTTAAAGTTGCATATGAGCAATTGATGGTCTGTTCACAGTTGGCCCCTCCTCTTGTTCTGACTGATGATATTGAGCATCTCCATTATTTCTTTCTACAGATGTATTTGATTTGATTCCTGTGTATTCCATCTGGAGTGGTCCATATGCGTACTCACCCTTAATGTTGTTGGAAAAAAGGTATTTGCAATGAATAAGTCATTGGTCTTGCAAAATTCTATTATGTGATTTCCAGCATCATTTCTATCACCAAGGCCATATTTTCCAAGTACAGATGCTTCTTTGTTCCCAACTTTTGCATTCCAATCACCAGTAATTAAAATCCATCTTGATTACATGTTTGGTCAATTTCAGACTGTAGAAGTTGGTAAAAATCTTCAATTTCTTCATCTTTGGCTTAAGTGGTTGTTGCAAAAACTTGAATTTCACTTCCTTGGTTATATTTATCACTAGATATTCTATTCTTTTAGATGCTAGTTAATGGAATTTTTTCCTTAATTTCCTTTTCAGATTTTTCATTGCTCACATATGGAAACACAATTGATTTTTATGTGTTGATCTTGTATCTACTAACTCTACTGACTTCATTTATTAACTGCAGTACCTTCTTGTGGAAGCCTTGATGTGTGTGTACATATATTCTTCTTATGCTTTTTTCATATTTGACACCAGAAATTCAACTTCTAATTAGCAAGATGAACGGGAAAAAATGTGCCTATTCTGTCTTCATGAAAACAGAAGTTTTCCAACACTGTCATGTAAGTGAAACAACATAAACTAGTAAATAATTTTTCTCTAACAAGTCTAATTCACACTGTTAGTTTCAAATATCCCTGAACTTCTACATTACAGTTATTTGTAGTGGTTAATTCAATCTTAGAAGTAATAGAATACTACTTCGATTAGTCTGTCTAGATATTTTTATACCAACGTTTGCAGGAGTAATAGTGCTAATAGAAATAGCTTTTAAATTACTTAAGAAAAAGCTAATGTTCAAATTGAATAATTTTTAGCTTGACATTACCTTTACCTCCATATTATCTTTTAAATTTGTCTAAACAGTACTTTTAAAAAGGTTTAAAAATGTGCTGTGTATGACACCAACATTTTCTGGACATGAGAAAGTTCAAATATATTAAACTTTTTTTGTGTGTTTTTTGTTTTGACTTTAATCATCAATTTTTTCACTACCATAGTAATTTCAAAGGAGCTCTGGTGGCGTAGTTCCTAATATATTTGACTCCTAACCAGAAGGTTGGCGGTTCAAACCTACCAACCACTCCACAAAAGGAAGACTGGGCAATCTACTTCCATAAAGATTTACTACCTTGGAAACCCAATGGGGGTCACTATGAGTCAGAATGGACTCAATGGCAGTGAGTTTGGTTTGTGGGTAGTAATTTCAATTGAAAATAGAAATGTGAGTTAGAAATGTGAGTTCTTAAAGATATTGATAAGCTGAGATCAGAAAAGTAGTTGTATTTTAAATAACAAAACATACTGTGTCACTAAAACAATACAGTTCCTATAGTTTCATTCATGTGATGAATCAGTTCTGAATTTCTTTCATTTTACATATATCAAAAGTATACCTAACAGAAAATGTATATGTTAAAGCATTTAAAACTGTTTTAAAAAAAAGAAGAATTTACATATTATTGTCTCAGACCTTTTGTACCCACTAGATTATATTTACTAATAAAGAACATCATTAAACTGTCCAATGTTGATGCAGGTATAATTTGGCTAATTCCATTATGACACAGGTAAGAGAAAGCTGTTGAAAGTGTCAGTATTAGGCATAACCTGAAACAACCCAGAACAAAGCCCTGGCAACCTACTTCTGAAAGATCACAGCCATGAAAACCCTATGGAAGCAGCTCTACTCTGAAACAAATGGGGTCCCCATGAGTTGGAATAGATCCTACAGAAACCAGTTTTCTTTTTAATATAAAACAAAAGAGGTTCTGAAATTTTTCATGAGGTTCTGAAAATATTTTCACATAAGTAGATACCTACTATTCTACCTACATACATATATAAATATGTTCATACATAGTCTGTGGTGGCCTGGATCTTGCTCATACCAGCTCAAAAGATCCTATTAAAATTTCAGAAGTTTTTGTGATCTGATTAAGGTCAAGAGGGTAGCTTGAAATTGACCATGGTGGTAGTATCAGACCATGGAAATTGACAAACCTTTATAATTAGCATTCCTCTCTTTTCACAGAGAGCTGATTGATAACCACTCACAAGTATACCACTGCCCAAAGACTTTTCTTTCTCATCTTTATTAACCCTGGTTGCACAGAAGTTAAACATGGCCGGTCAAAAGTTGGTTCAAACCCACTAGCATATCTGTGGGAGAAAAGACCTTGTGATCTGCTCCTATAATGATTATACCCTTAGAAACCCATGGCCTGTTCTACTCTGTCCTATAGGGTCACTGGAAATCAGAATTGACTTCACAGCACAAATAGTTTGCACTTGATTACTAACCTTCAGGTTGGTGGTTCAAATCCACCCAGGGATACCTTGGAGAAAAAGTCCTGGTTATCTGCCTCTATTAAGATTAAATTCAAGAAAACCCTACAAAATAGTTCTCCTTTGTAACAAATGGAGTCCCTATAAAAATCGACTTGATAGCAACTGCAGTGTAGTAAATTACTTTGTATGGCTTTTCTACCCACAAGCCATTGTAAACTCAGTGGTGGAATGAGCAACTGAGGAGCTCCTGATTGTAAATGTTATCCATGTGGGGTATTTCTGTTGGGTGTGGCACAATACAATGTTCTGGGAGGTTCCCACTCTCTCTCAGGTGCTTAGAGTTCTGATGCTGTGATTGGCTAGTTTGGCCACTCTACCAGGCTCAAAAGGAGGCCTCCTAGAGGCAGAACGCTCTCTGACTGCTGGTTGAGGAAGACGTGCTGCTGAAAGAGACACGGGCTCCTGAGACACGTGTTGCTGAGAAAGAGACACACATTGCTGAGTGAGACACCGAGTGACCAGCACTGCTGGGAAAGAGACTGTGAGAGACTGTTGGCTGAGGGATGGTGGGCTGGGAGAGAGACTGAGCATTTTCCCTGAACTTGAATTGTAGCCTGTGGTGCTTCCCTAATAAACCCCATAATCTGTGAGCTCTGTGTGGCCACTGCAGTGAATTATCGAACCCAGGAGAGAGGTGGTGGGTGCTGTGGGAGGAATGGTTGGAGAAAGGGCTGGAGGGAGGCAGCATCTCTGGCCTTGCAGTAATAGGCCTTGGGTTACTGCTGGTAATCCTGTCTTCCTCTTGTGGGGTTAAAGGAGGTCAGAACATGTGGCCTTTGTGCCGTTTTTGCAGCAACTAACAATAGCAACACACATTCAAATATATACTGCATATATATATATATAT